CAGTGTTTTGTTTACTTTCTTATGCCTGTATTATTACAATAACAATTGTTTTCCTTTGTTTACCTTTTTTGGTTTTACACAAATTGAAACTCAATCAAAGAGAGTGTTTGGCTTAGTTTTATTAGTGTGTGTGTGTGTTTGTAGACTAGATTATAGATAAAGATTATAGACTAGATTCTAGTCTAATCACTAGAATATAGACTATAGAACTATTATGTAAACTATTTATCAAAAGTTGAGGGGCTAAAGCGGTATTATTCGCTAAAAAAATGTATTGAATAAAGTACAATGTACTGAATTTTCCATGCCTGGCTTGTGCTGATGTGTTTTGTTGTTTTTTTGCTCTTAGTGGTGGGAAAAAAATGACATTTCTTAAAGTATTAAAGATAAATTAAAAATTTTTTAAGAATTCTTTAAGATTTTGAACATATTTGTATTAAATTTAATGTTATATTTTAGTTAAACTTTATATTTAACACTTTAGAAACTTGTTTACTTTATTATCAGTTTAAAAAGGGGTGTGGTTTTAATTTAATTTAAAAACCTTAATTTTTGACGTTAAACGTACGTAGTTTATATTATTTAAATTTGTGTTTTCAATAAATTTATTGCCAAATTTTGTTGTTTATTTATAAAATTAACATATAACTATTATAAAAGAATACAAACATGCTTTTATTTCAAACAAAAATTTAAATATTTTGGCATTTTATTGAAAAAAAACCTCATAAATTTTAAATTGTTTCATGGAAACAATAGGTTTATTTCAAATAACCTTGTATGTTTGTTTTTTCAAACAAATTTTCTTTTACTTTTCCTAATAGCCAACATATTTTCATACACGTGGTTGTGTTAAAATTAATATTTTGTCATAGGGAAAATCAGCGTAGAAACAAATGAAAAAAACTTTGTTTTTTTTTCACCACAAACATTTTCAAAAACAAAATAATTATTTTGCTTATTATGATTAACAATAATATGAATAATTTTCTTAAGTTTGGTTGGCATAAATCCAAATTATTGCTTGTCATAAAAAAAGAAACATTTAAAAAGTTTTAAATAAGGAAATTAACAGCAAAAAGTTTTATCCATTTTGTATAAAACTCTGCCCTGCGGTTTTGTTTTAATCTTAAGGGGATTTTAGTTGTTGTTTTTTTTTAAGATTATTTCTTTCAACAAAAAGCAGCCTTTGATTTGTAGACATAAATAAATATCTGTTATTCATTATGTTTTCATTTATTAAAAGATCTATAAATAAATTTAAAAGAAACCCAACAGCACTGAAAGAAATCTATTTTTATTTTATAAATAAAACATTAACAAAAATCTATATTAAATATGATTTTTTACCCTGACATATTTTAAACAGAGAAAATTTTCAAAAATAAAAGACCTTTTTCTAAACATAAACAGTTTTTTCAGTCTATTTCTGTTAACAAATCATCTTCATAATGATCCTTAAATACTCAAATTACCTTTTCAAATAAAAAAAAAACTTAAGTGTGTCATTCACTTGAAACTTAATATGTACATGCTTGGCCTAAATTTAACGTTTATCCTCCATATAGATTTGTTTAAATTCTATAAATCTGACGTTTGTCTTTGAAAAACAAACAATTGACGTTTTTTAAATTTATGTTGTTTCTTTGAAGATGTTCTATTATTGTTAAGAGAATGGTATCGGTTGCTAAAAATCATGCTGTTAGAAGGTTTTTTGTTATTGTTTATAATTTTTAACAAAAAATCATGCTGTATTTGTATGATAAATTACAAATTCGTGCAAATTTGTTTGATATTTCATGTTATAAAAAGTGGCCAGCAACATGTTGCTAAACAAATTTGTCATAAAATTGGGATTTTTTTATTAAAATTTAATTATTTTTTTAACTTAGAGCTGTTTTTGCAAAATTTTAAATATATTAAAATGTTGCTAAACATTATTAAAAGTTTCTAAACTCATGTTGCTAAACATTTTTTTATAAAAATTTCTTTTTTTTTATAAATAATAAATTGTTATAGCTATTTAAAGCAGTTTTGGAAGAATTTTTGTAATATCCAATGTTGCCAAGCAAATGTTGCTAAACAATATTGTAATTTTTTAGCCACATGTTGGCTAAACATTTGTATATAAAGAGATATTCAAATAAATCCAATAGTCTAAGCTAAATTTAAAACATATTGCTGTGAATTTAAATTAATTTAAATATTGTTTGCCAAATGTTGCTAAAAGAAACCTATTTCCTGTCAAATTGTTGAGCAACAACATGTTGCCAATAGAAAATTTCGCTTAAACCATAACCTTTCTATAATTTTCAAACTTAACTGAGAAATAAACTTTAAACACAATTCAAATCTTTTAAAATCTAATAACTGCAACATGTTGCTAATAAAAAATTATAACAGTTTAAAGGCCTCATGTTGCTAAACTTTAGTATAGAAGAAGTCTGAGAAATCTAGTCTTAAATATATTGAAAACATATTCATAAGAATTTTTTAAAGTTTAAAGTTTTTAAGTTTTAAAAATTAAAAGAAAAAATGTTGCCAGCAACATGTTGCCTAAATAAAAATTTCCTTAAAATGCTTAAATTTAAAGAAATTTAACTATTTAGTGTATAAAACGTTTAACAGTTAAAAAAATTTTATCAAATTTGTTGTTAGCAACATGTTGCTAAGAAAAAATTTTTCTTAAAACTTAAAAATTTAATATTTTTATAATATTTTTAAATTATAAATCAAAAACAATAATTAAAAATTAACAAATATTATTCAGCAACATGTTGCTAAACAAATTAAACATACGTTTTAAACAATATAACTTTCTAAACATTTCTATTTCATTCTTTTTAATTGCTTTTAATGGTCATTATTCTACAAAAAAAAGTCATTTGAAGGTCGCTCAGCTAATATACTTAAACCACTTATAGTAATAGATAAAATGCCATAAAACTGCAAAAAAAAGAAAATTATACTATTTTATCTTCTAGCTCAGTTAGTAACAAATAAATATAATGAAAATTAAATTTGTTCATGGTGTGCAAATATTGATTTAAAGATTTTTTTGTTGCCGCTGTTGTTGTGGTCGAGGTATGGCACCTTATATGATGATTCATTTTACAAATTATAAAAGGCCCCTATTTCTGCAATAAAAATACAAAACTTGCGTGTTACATTTAAGGCAGAAAAGAAAAAAAAAAACAGCTTAAAACTTAAAAAAAAACCCATTATGACATGTTGGTAATATTTTTACTATTTTTTTTATATAATTTCTATTTTATTTTCTTGTTACAAATAAAAAAACTACGTCAGGGTAATTAAGAAAAGCAAAAGTGTAAGCAAATATTAAATAATTCTTTAAAACATGTTGCTAAACATGTGCCTAAGCAAGCAGAGGTATTAGTTTAAACTTTAAACCTTTGTGTAGGCATTGTTATGGTATTTCTAAGAATTTCTTTTTGTTATGATTTATTATAGAAATAAATTGTTTGAAAAAGTACTTTTTTAAAAAGAAGAGGGGGATTTAGAAAAGCTTTTGTATGATGTAGTATAAACTAATTTTAGTTTATTGTACTTTTTCTATATGTTTGTTTGTTTTGCTTTTGTAATGTAAATCACTTTTTAACAAGTCTTTATAATACACATGTTCAAGATCTGGGATTATTTTCAAATAAAAAAACATGTGTTTAACAGATATTTTTTAAAGAAATCGATTAATTATTATAAAATTTTGATTGTATTAGCAACATGTTTAGCTTACACATGTATCTAAACAAGTTCCTAAACCTAAATTAAAATTTTGGAAAACTTTTTACTAATATTTCAAAGACTTTAATATAATTTAGAAAAAATAATATTTGTTTAACCAAGCAACATGTTGAGTTATATATAATATGTATCTAAACATATTGCTGAAGCTAAATTACTTGCTTTAGATAATTTAAAACAAATATATTAAGAAAATATATTAAATTTGATAAAAATAAGTTAAAGGTTTTTGTTGCAACATGAAACGTGAATCTAGCAACATGTTTAGTTTACTAGTTAGCTAAACAAGTTTCGGAACCTACAACCAATGTTTTAGTTATATAATTTTATAACAATATTTCACATAAATCTATTAAATATTGTAAAATTAGTTTAAGTTTTATGTTGCAACATGAAAAATCCTATTAGCAACATGTTTAGTTTATCAAGTAGCTAAACATGTTGTAGATTTCAATTTAAGAATTATAGAAAACTTAAAACTAATGTTTTTTATTCTAGTATCTGCTCTATTATAAAATTATTATAGGGTTTAGGTTGGAATATTACAAAAATCATACTTAGCAACATGTTTAGTTTAAAATGTAGCTAAACATGTAGTTGTTTACAAACTTAATACTAAAGTTTTTATTCTAATATCTTCTCTATTAGAAAATTTATTTAGGATTTATAGTTAAACATGAAAAGTCATTCTACCAACATGTTTAGTTGACAATGTAGCTAAACATGTTGCAGATTCCAAATCAACAGTTATAGAAAACTTAATACTTATGTTTTTATTCTATTATGTGCTGTATTATAAAATTATTATAAGGTTTAGGTTTTAGTATTAAAAAAATTATCCTAGCAACATGTTTAGTTTAATATGTAGCTAAACAAGTTGCTGATTCCAAACTAATAATTATAGAAAATTTAATACTAATGTTTTTATTCTATTTCTCTTTCTCTGTCTAAAAAATAGTTAAGTTTTAGGTTGTAAACTTTTCCTAGCAACATGTTTAGTTTGCCATGTAACTAAACATGTTGCTGATTCCTAAATAACTATTAAGAAAAGCTTAATTTTAAAGTTTTTATACTATTATCTGTTTTATTATAAAATTTGTTTAAGGTTTAGGTTGCAATATAAAAACTCATTCTTAGCAACATGTTTAATTTCAAATGTATAACAACATGTTGCTTATATTTAAACAACTACAAAGGAAAGCGTTTTACTAATAACTTTGTTCTCTCTATCATTTTAGGATCTCGTCAAATCCCATTTGATGATCGCCGTCCGTGAGGAGGTTGAGGTTCTTAAAGAGAAAATCTCCGAACTAATGGACAAAATCAATCAATTGGAAGTAGAGAATACCATACTGAAGGCAAATATGTCACAGGAAACATTGCAACAGTTGCAAATGCAAACACAATTGCAAATTGCCGGTACAACAGCGACCAATGGCAGTAATATGTTAACGGCTGCACCCACACCAGCCGCCATAACAGCAGCACCAGCAACAGTGGCCAACAACGTAGCCGGCAATACAGTCAATGCAGCAGCAACACCCCAGTCAAATGTAGGTAGTGGTACAGCAACACCTACCACACAACAAGCCGCCAATACAACCATAGTAACAGAACAAAGTGTAGATACTACACAACAGAATCTAAATGCTGTTAATAGCGAGGATAATCAGGGTTCAGCGGTACAGGCCACAAATGGACCCATGTCTTAAATTCTAAATTTTGTCGTTTAGCGCAGAGTCTTAGCTATACAACATGAAAATATTGTTGTCACTCAGTCTCCTCTATAAAAAACACTCACACTCTCAACACAAAAAAAAACCGAAAATATGGAGTGTTAAATTTTGTTTATTAATTTAACAAAATAAGATGCAACAACAAATAGAAACACTTAAGCAAAATTTTTTACACACTTTAACACACTCACCCTGTATCAAATCAAAAAAAGGATAATTATTGCTGATGCTGTTGCATATTTTGAAGTTGAAGGTGTCTAAGCCAAGGAGTTTAATATTAAAAATGTTTTGACATCAAAACATTTGTCCTTAACATATCCTTTTTTCAAAAAAAAAAAAAAAAAATAACCCAGCAAAAGCTTAAAAGTTTTAAAAACTTGTCCTTTTCTCTTTTAAAATTTGTCGCTGGTATTTTGGAACAAAATTTAATTGGCAAAAAGTGTTTGAGAGCCCAACTCTTAGAGTTTCTTTTGGTGTCTCTGGGGTTTAAAAGAAAAACTCTTGTTGCTGGCAAAAAGAAAAGCAACATTTTTTTTTAATTTATAATGTGATATAATTAAATAGTCCTTCTCCTGCCCTGAAAAAAAAGCCACGCCTCCTACCCGCCCTTAACTCCCTTAAAAAAAAACACTTGTTTCCTATTAAAATGAAAGAAAATTAGCTTAAACTTTAATTTTTTTTTTTTTTTGTAATTTATTAAGTTTTTTTTTATAAAAATTTTTTGTTAATTTTTGTATAATTGTTAAAAAAAAAGAACTAAATTAACTTTAAAACTAAATTTTTTTTAGGAAACCTTGTTTTTTTTCAACTTGAAACCCATACTTTTATTAAAAAAGTAGAATTTTGAGTTTAGATATTTATTATTAATTTAAAAAAAAAAATACACAAATTGTAAAAACTGATTTATTAATAAAAAAAAACTAATTTGAGTTTAATTTTAACCACAAAACATCAAGCAAAATAAAATAAAAAAAATAAATTGTGATAATTTGCATTGCATTGACTTTCTAAATAAAAATATTAAAAAAAAACATAAAACTTAAATAAAACAAATTATAATTTTATGGCTAAAAGAAAAAACAACAAAAACAAATTAATAAAACTGTAAAAAATTTAAAACAACTGCAAAATTTTAGTTAAAAAAAATTAAAAAAAAAAACTAAAATTTATAAAAGAAATCTTTTAAAATTTTTTTATTATTATAAACATATTGTATATAATAATTTAAACAAAATTAAGCAAAAGCTGTTTTTTATAAAATTCTTTTCCCCCCTAAATTCTTTAATATTTAAGTATTTTTTTATTATTACATATAAAAAATCTGTTATAAGATTTTTTTTTCAAAGACTCTCTTGTTTTTAACAAAAAAAAAGAAATTACAAATTATTAAACAAAAAAAATTGTATATTTAAGTTATTTTTTTGTTTTTAATGTTATTAATTATATATTTTTTTTTTAAATACTTTAATTTTTGTATTATAATTATTATTATTTTGTATTCTTTTTTTTAGTTTATAAGTTTATTATATAATATTAAAAATAAAATACTTTAAAAATTATTTAACAAATAAAATATTTACAAAAAAAAAAAAACACTACAAAATATATATAAACAATTGATTTAAATAAAAATCATTTAAAAGACAATCCTGCAGAGACTCTAATTGTCTAAGGATTTGTGCCCAGGAGCATCAGCAAAAGGATCGATCGCCAGTCCATGATTTCAAGTTTATAATTTTAATTAATAACATTTTAAAACCAAAAAAAAAAATAACTTAAATTTTTATTTATTTTTCTTTCAAACTAGATTTTTATTTAAATATTGTCTTATATTTTTTGGAAAATTTTATAAAAAAAAAAATTCTTGAAAAAAAAGCTTTAACATTCAACTTAAACTAAAAAACTGCTCCTTATAAGTTAAACTAGGTTTAAACTTTTAACAGTTAACAATTTATTACCATCTCTCACTGTTAATATTTTGATCTCCAGTTAATCTTAGTTTAAACTGAAAAGTTTTTCAATTTTAGTTTAAAAGCTTCTAGTCGTTAAAAAAATTTAACTTTATTGAACTGTTATTTGGTCTCTAGTTTTCTTGAGAAACTTAAGCATTAAGTTTTTAAAAAAATTTTCTCAATTTTAGCAGCAACATGTTGCTAAACTTTTCAAATCAGCAGCAAATCAAAGCAGCAGAAATTTCTACATTTAAAATTGTCTCAAATATGAAATAAAACTTATAAACATTAAGCATATGAAATATTAGTGCAGCAACATGTTGCTAAACTTTTATATACTTTTTTTTCAAAATAACACAAGAATAACATTAAAACAGAAACTTTATTAAAAGAAAATGTTGCCAATAACTTTGCCAACTAAAATTTAAAAAAAAATACTTTATCAACATGTTGCTAACAAACCAAGAAAATGTTGTGAAGCAAATAAATCCCATAGCTATTGAAATGGAATCTTCAGCTAACTCAATTTTTTTCTATGAAAACAGTAACAAAAACAACTTTTAAAACATTTATGTTGCAGAAATTCATTCTCAACATGTTGATAAACATCAACAATATGTTGCCAAAAGAAGCAATAGCTATTTAAGTAAAGTCTTTAACTGTTTTAACTTTAAACTTTTAATAGAATAGAAAACTAACCATTAGCAACATGTTTCCTTCTGAACAGTTTCAAAACTTCAATAATGCTTTCTCAACATGTTGATAAACATCAACAATATGTTGTTAAATTAAACAACACATATTTAAGTGAAGTCTTCAGCTGCTTTAACTTTAAACTTTCAATGGAAAACTAACTATTAGCAACATGTTGTTTCCTTCCAAAATTCCAATTATTATTATGATGATAACAACTTTTAAAACATTAATGTTGCAAAAATTCATTCTAAACATGTTGGTAAACATCAAACCTATTTAAGTAATGTCATTCATTGCCTTAAATTTGTTGGTCTTTTACTTATTATTTAGGCAACTTGTTGCTTAGACGATATCTACCAGCAACAAGTTGATCCTCCACAACTGTATAGTGTAAAAATGCTTCATCAACATGTTGCTAAACATCTACATTAAGTTGTGAAATAAATAAATCAAACAACTTATTTATATAAAGTACTTAGGCGGATTTTACTCTGGTTGTTAGCAACTTGTTGCACATCAATTTTTAATTTGTTTTTGCAACAACATTTTTGTAAAGAATTTCAAGCTTTCAGCAACATTTTACAAAATATTCCTCAGAAGTTAAAACATACTTCTAGCAATATTTGAGGCTCAGCTTAAGGTTTCAGCAATATATTACAAACATTTTTTAAACATATTCCATATAAAAAGTTTTAAACACTGTTTAGCATCATTAAAATGTTGCAGCAACATTAATGTTATTGTTAGTTTTCTAATATAACTAAAATATGTACATATTTTGCAAACATTTAGTAAATATCAAACAAAATTTCTTTTAAATAACTTGTAAAGACTTCTAGTACACAGCAACATGTTCTCGTAAAGGTTGCTAAACATGTTGCTGTTAGAACTAGAAACTTTTAGGCGTATTAAACAATTTATGGTTTAAGATTAAAAGAATTTTTACAGAATATTCAAAATTAATCTCTTTAAATACTTTCAGACATTTTACCGTTATTTCGCAAAAATTTAAAGCATATCTTAGGGCGGTTTTAACAATATTTCATTCTAAATCTTATAGTTTTCTAGATAATTTGTTTCTTTAAATTGTTTTAAAAGATTGTGTTATTTGAAGAAATTTTTTAAATAAATTTGTAGCATACTTTAGGGTTTTGATTATTACTATTATTGTGTTTATATAGTATAAACTATATCCCTAAAAGTAGACTTATTTGCTGGTCTTTTTTTAGAATTTCATTAGGATATAAATGGCAACTTTTTGGAATAAAATCATCTTTAATTTTTAAAAATTTATGAACTACATGGAATTCTGTTAAACTTTGGAACTCAAACCGTATTAAGGAGGGTTTTAAGTGGATTTTTTAAGAAATCTCTAAATTCTTTATTATAAAATGTTTAGCATACTTTTTAAACAAATCTATTGCAAAAGAAAACTATATTTTTGCTGCCTACTTTTAGGCTTTTTTATAATAAAAACAATTTCAAATTTCGAACTTTAATAAAGGTTTATAAAACAAATACTGCTGGGAAACTTGTTTTATAAAAATTTATTAAATTTATAAATTAGAAATTTTTAAAAAATAAAACTAGAGCACAATTTTAGGAGATTTTAAATAACTTTATATTTGGAACAGAAAAATGGAGCAGAATTAAAAACTTATTTGGCAATTTTTTTTATATAATTTTTATATAAAATTAACAAAAATAATAAGACAATATATAAATTATAAAAGAAATTTACTAAAAAAATTAAAATTTTGTTAAAACAAAAGAGTCTTTGTAAAAAAAAATCTTATATTATTTAAATTATTTATTACAGTTATTTAGTTAAACAAAAGTTTCCCCAAAAAAACAGCTTATTTTTTTTAACAAATTATTAAAAATAAACAATAATTAACACTTGCACTTGATGCTAAATTAAACTAAAGGAAAGATAGAACAACAAAAACAGAATTTATGATAAAAACTTATTAAATTGAAAAACAAGCAAAATTAAACGTTAAACATTAAACATATTTAAAAATAAACATAATTAAATATTAAAAATAAAAAACCAAGACGTTTAGTTTTGAACAAATATACTGCTATATATAAATAAACTAAAATATATATATATAAAAAAAATTTTAAACGTCTTGTTTAAGAAAAACCAAGTTCCATTATTAGTTTTATAAGTTTAGTTGAAGTAATTTTTAATTTAAACTTAATCTTAACAACAACAAAACAATAACCTACAACAAATAATAAAAAAGATAAAGTTAAAATTAAATTTTTAAGAAAAATTTAAAAAAACCAATAATTTTTTTGTTTTTGTATTGACATTTTAATTTTCATTACTACATTTTCATTTCCTTATTAAGTAGTTTGTAAAGAACAAAAAAAAAAAAAAAACTTTAAATATTTGAAAATAAAACATATTTAAAATAAAAATATTCAAACGAAAACAAACGCAATAAAAAAATTAAAAAAAACATTGTATATAAAATGTATGATTAACAAAAATAAGAAAACAATACAAAAAATTAATTAACATGCGTATAATTCCAAGAAAAAACAGATATTGATTATAAAAACAAAAAATGTCCTTTTTTAAATAAAAAATTAAAGACATTAACTCGACCGCCACAAAACTATTAACTAAAAAAACTTCTTGTAATTCTATATAAATACTTATTCTATGTGTAAAATTTAAAATTTATTAAAAACAAAAGCAAAGTAATTAAAAAAAATAAATAAAATAAAACTTTAATTAATTGTAACAATAAAATAAAGTATTTAAAAGAATAATAAAGAGTAAAAGAAAGCTAAACAAAACTAAACATGTTTTATTTAACGTTTTCACTTTCACAACAGCAAAAATTGGTTTTCCAGCTGCAACTGCAACTGCAAACAACCCCCCCCCCCCTCTTCTGCCCGAAAAAAAGCGCGTTAGTTTTTGAATATTATAATTTTGGAATTTAAATTTACTAGTCCTTTTAAAATTTTAAGGTAATTGTTTCGTTATTATTTTTTTTATAATTTTAAACAAAAATGTTTTGTATTTATATATAATTTTGTCTCTACTCTTTATTTAATTTAGTAATTTCTCTAGTTTAATATTTATATTTATTAACTATAAGTTTATTTTTATATGTAATATTTTATTTTTAATAAAGTTTCTCTATATCTATCTTAAGTTTTCAAACATTATATTTAATTTAATTTTTAATTTATATTATACTCTTTAAAGAAAGACAAAAAAAGGAAATCATCGTTAAACGTAATTACTCCTCTTTTTTTCACTAAAAACTAAATATTGTATCATTTATTAAATAAATAATAAAAATTAAAAAATAAATAAAATGAAAAACACAAAAAAGTTTTAAATATCTTATTATTACAAAAGGAAAACTTATAAAAATCTCCTACTCCATCTTGAAAAACTACAAATGTCTGGCAACACGGCGAAACAAATTCCCTAAAAAAACATTAAATCTGCTTACAAAGCTCGATTGACTATAATCCTAACAAAAACGTTACAATATTAACGAATTTATGGCTATTTAAGGTAATACCTCTTTAAACTATTCATTATTCAATTGTCTGGCCACACTGTGCAACTAAATACTTCAAAAAACAAGTATTATATATAAAAACCTTTTGTTTGAGACAAATTTTATTGAAATCACTTAAGTATTATTGATTTTAGAGCAATTAAAAAAAACTTGTGAAAAATAAGTAATCTGGCAACACTGGTAAACAAATTTGTGCACAAAAACATTAAGCCTACATTAAAATCTAGCGTTTAACTCTAATTTGAATAAAATCACTTGATTATTAGCAATGTTATAACAATTCAAAGAAACATGCAAAAAACTAAGTATGTGGCAACTCTGGTAAAATAATTTCTTCACAAAACAGTTAGCTTACAATAAAACCTTTCGATTGACTGTAATATTAGCAAAATTGATTGAGTATTACAGGAATTATAAGCATTTAAGTAAACCCTTATAAAACATGTATAAATTCAATTGTCTGGCAACACTGGTAAACAAAATTTTTCCTTAGAAAGTTAGCTTACATTAAAACCTATCATTTAAATCTAATTTCAGCAAAATCCCTTTAGTATTAACGAAATTATAGCATATTAAAAAATCCCTAAAATTGCAAAATTTTCAAAACACGACAACCCTGTATCAGCATACGTTCAGCGCCATCTATTGATGGGGTAGATGGTTTTTCTGCAAACCTAAAAATGCGGCAGTTAGAGACCTATTTTCAAGACGTAATAACTCGGAAACTATTGCACTGTTTACGATAAATTTGGTAGGGATCTGTTGGGAAGATATTGGAGTATGTAGTGAATATATAAAAATTTATTTTACCAGAGTTGCCATAGTAAAAAACAATGAAACAAACATACGATTTTAAAACGCTATAACTTTGTAATTAGCGAACCGATTTAAGTCAGACTTATGTCAATGTATAGCTATTAAATTCAAAAAATAAAAATTTCTTACGGCAGAGTTGCCAGACTATTACTTTTGTTATATTTTGAGGATAATGCATTTGTATTTTGTATTACCTGCCTTATTTTTAGTGTCATATTATAAACATTAAAATTTAAATAAAGCGGTGCAAATAACAGCTTGGCAACTCTAATAAATGCATTTTTTATATTATCCACTGTACAATAAAGTACCGAATGAAATTTACATATTAACAAGTTTTTGTAGCACTATAGCTTTCCAAATAAATAAATGAAATCTAATTTTACTAATAAAACAGTTTTTGTAGCCTGGCAACTCTGGCAGAGTGAATTTCTCAGTTCTTCTATTTGTCAGCTAAAATCTAACATAAGTCTGATCAGAATCGGTGAATTATTTACCGAGTTATAGCGTTTTGAAAATCTTTACCAATTTCATAGTTTTTTAGTCTGGCAACTCCGGTAAACTAATTTTTTAACATAACTATACATTCTCCAATTCATTTCCAATAAGACCACACTATTCCCATCGAAAACGGTGCAGTAGTTTCTGAGTAATAGCGTTTTGAAAATATGTCTCTATATCCCACATATTTTTGCTTGCAGAAAATCCATCTACCCAACCAATAGATGGCGCTATACATATGTCGAGACAGGGTTGTCAAGTTTTGAAAAATGTGAAATTTTAGGGATTTTTAAAATTGCTATAAATCCTATAATACTCAAGTGATTTTGATAAAATTAGATTCAAATGAAAGGTTTGAATGTAGGCCATATGTTAAACGGAAAAATTGATTTCCCAGTGTTGCCAGACAATGCAATTTTGATAAGATAAATAAGAGATTACTTAGGTTGTCATAAATCTAGTAATACTTAAGCTATTTTGATAAAATTAAAGTCTATCGAAAGGTTTTAATACCGGCTAACTGTTATAGGGGAAAATTTTTCACCAGTGTTGCCAGATATTAGTTATTTAACAAGTTTCTTCGAATTGCTATAAATCCAACAATATTCAAGTGTTTTGATTACAATTGGACTCAATCGAAAGGTTTTAATAGGGACTAATAATTTCTGAAAATCTAGTTTACCAGTGCTGCCATGTAATTGAAGTTTGACCAGTTTAAAGACGGAATTCTATTAAAAGCTATAAATCGAATATTACTCAAGGGATTTCGTTAAAATTAGTGTTAAAAAAAGGTTTGAATGAAGCTTAATTATTTAATGAGCAAATGTTTATCCCTACTGAAAGGTAATTATTTTTATACCAATTTATATAAATTTATGAAAATTACAATAAAATCTACAATACTCAAGCGATTGTGTGAATTAAAATAAATGAAACTCATACCATTTATTGGTTTATTTCAAATTTTATTGAAAATCTCTTTTTATAAAGCTAAAAATTATTATTTAATTGCTTTTAGTAATACTTTTAGTTTTGAAGACTTAAATTGCAATAACAACTTAAGATATTATATAAAAATTGGCAACTGTTGCAAGCTAGCTTTAGGATTTTATTATAAACATAGAAAAGGGTTAAAAAAATGGCGTAATTCGAACACGTTTTGACATTGTACTTAACATACTTAACAATAAAACATATTTTAATATATGTATAAAAATTTAAAAATCAGTTTCTGGACTTTGTGGCCTCAAGTCATCTAAATTCTTGTCAGTGTCCGGCTGTGCTAATGGCATCGTATCGATGGCATCTAAATCTGTCTCAATGGCTTTTGTGTTGGAACGATTTTCATTACCGTTCTCTAGCTGGGTTGTTGCTTGATCTTTAGGTTTAAACGACTTCAAACTTCCCAATTGAGCTCTTACATCCTCTTCGGATAAATGATGTAAAGGAACATCGGCACGTGGCACTAAACGTTTAGGACTAGTGCTGCCATCATTGGGTTTACGTTTGTCAGGTGGAAATACTACTTGAGCATAAGTCACCCCGGAAGATGAGGGCTCTACAACACTACTGTCACCAGCAGAAGAATTTGTTACAGAACTAGGTTGACGGAAAACGGTAATTTCATTATTTGGCATTGGGGCTGCTCTAGTGGGTTGTACTGCTGGTTGATCTCGAGATGCTGTAGTCATGGTGGTCACAGGACTACCACCTATGGCAGTGTGTGTAGGATCTCCCTGCGGTACAGGAGCGTACAGGGAAGGAGTATAATTGACATCGGTGACTTTACAATTGTAGATATTTAATCCCTTGATAAATATGAATACTAGTATATCAAAGATTAGGCCAACTAATATTAAACTGGCAGTGAGGATATTTAAAATGTTGCCATGTTTCGGATTTTCACGTAGCAAACAGCGTGCATATCCAGGAGCCCAATAAACACAGGTGGTACCTAATCCAAAGAGAAAAAATTTTCTTAATATGATTTTCATATAAAATTAAAAAATGATGTAAAACTTACGGGTTACCACATCATATGCCAAGTGTACTGGTATATAGGCAAATAAACCTAAAAACATTACTTCCATAGCCAACGCTAAACCTTTATCTTGTGGCAACACACTCCGTAACGAAATTATTAATTTTCCTATAGTCGTCATTCCATAGATACAAGCGGTCATAATACTGAGAATTTGGAAAACAATCAGCATATTGGCACAGGTTTTAGCACTGCAGGCTCCTTCGGTGGCTTTAATATTAAAGGCCGTATTCATATCATAATTGTTGGTGCCGCCACAGCTGCAACCTTCATAAAGCTGAAATTAAAAAGAATTATTAAATTTTCCTTTAAAAAGTAGTTCTTTATAGTGGAAAATTATAACCGTAAGTTTAGTTAGTAAGTAAGTAAGTAAGTAAGTAGGTAAGTAAGTAAGTAAGTAAGTAAGTAAGTAAGTAAGTAAGTAAGTAAGTAAGTAAGTAAGTAAGTAAGTAAGTAAGTAAGTAAGTAAGTAAGTAAGTAAGTAAGTAAGTAAGCGTAAGTAAGTAAGTAAGTAAGTAAGTAAGTAAGTAAGTAAGTAAGTAAGTAAGTAAGTAAGTAAGTAAGTAAGTAAGTAGTAAGTAAGTAAGTAAGTAAGTAAGTAAGTAAGTAGTAAGTAAGTAAGTAAGTAAGTAAGTAAGTAAGTAAGTAAGTAAGTAAGTAAGTAAGTAAGTAAGTAAGTAAGTAAGTAAGTAAGTAAGTAAGTAAGTAAGTAAGTAAGTAAGTAAGTAAGTAAGTAAGTAAGTAAGTAAGTAAGTAAGTAAGTAAGTAAGTAAGTAAGTAAGTAAGTAAGTAAGTAAGTAAGTAAGTAAGTAAGTAAGTAAGTAAGTAAGTAAGTAAGTAAGTAAGTAAGTAAGTAAGTAAGTAAGTAAGTAAGTAGTAAGTAAGTAAGTAAGTAAGTAAGTAAGTAAGTAAGTAAGTAAGTAAGTAAGTAAGTAAGTAAGTAAGTAAGTAAGTAAAGTAAGTAAGTAAGTAAGTAAGTAAGTAAAGTAAGTAAGTAAGTAAGTAAGTAAGTAAGTAAGTAAGTAAGTAAGTAAGTAAGTAAGTAAGTAAGTAAGTAGTAAGTAAGTAAGTAAGTAAGTAAGTAAGTAAGTAAGTAAGTAAGTAAGTAAGTAAGTAAGTAAGTAAGTAAGTAAGTAAGTAAGTAAGTAAGTAAGTAAGTAAGTAAGTAAGTAAGTAAGTAAGTAAGTAAGTAAGTAAGTAAGTAAGTAAGTAAGTAAGTAAGTAAGTAAGTAAGTAAGTAAGTAAGTAAGTAAGTAAGTAAGTAAGTAAGTAAGTAAGTAAGAAGTAAGAAGTAAGGAAGTAAGGAAGTAAGGAAGTAAGGAAGTAAGGAAGTAAGGAAGTAAGGAAGTAAGGAAGTAAGGAAGTAAGTAAGGAAGTAAGGAAGTAAGGAAGTAAGGAAGTAAGGAAGTAAGTAAGTAAGTAAGTAAGTAAGTAAGTAAGTACACTAACAACCACTTCCCTCCTTAACTTTTTAACTTCCTAATCACCTCTCCCATAAGGGCCAAGGATTTTCAGTATTACTTACCTCTACACTGTTAATTGTTGTCTTTTTCGAACAACCCGCATAGCAAGGTGAGAAATACGTGACAGTTGAATTCTCCGGACATACCGGAAGAAAGGAGGTAGGATTGCAAATACACTGTCGGGAACAATAGGGCTGCTGTAGCTTGCCATTGACAGTACCGCCTATAGGACCAACCTCACATCTGATAAATATAAAAGCTATATAAATAATCAGCAGTTTAACAGCCATGCCTATATTAATGGCAGCAATTTTTCTAAAAAGATTAAAAAACCGGTTAATATAATTTTAAAACTTTATGAATACTTAAATCCTTACTCACCTGCCCGTTAGCTTAAGTTTAGAAATAACCAGTCCACCTATAAACATACTTATAGCTGCTGCTGGAGGTTTTAAAAAGAACGACATAAATCTGGCCTTCCATTCCTGCATCAGACCATCCTCCTCACTATAGGGTAAAAAGAAGCGAGACTGCAAATAACTTTCCTCTTGAAGAGAAAAATTAATGGATGCTCCCTGTATGAACATAATGCTGACAATGTTGAACATTAACAATTTATTGCCAAAAATCCTTTTCACGGACGGCATAAAGGCAGTATCATCTATGTAGGTTGAAAATTGACTACCAAACTGACGGCTGTGTGATTCTTCTAAAATCCTTTGAGCAGCTTGGTGTATAACAGTTTTTGGTAGTTTTTTGGGAAATAAACCCAGTAGAATACCACTTATGAAGACAGCTGGCGCTATAATCACCCATCCCAACCACCAGCCTAAGTTTGCGGCTCCAACACCCAATATTATGCTGGATCCAAATTGTAGACCAAATATTTTTGCACCAAAAACCGTGGCTATCACCGCAGGACTATCTATGGAAGTGGAGTTATCATCTAGATATGTTAGGCCCACAGTGAAGAAGGCTAAGGAGCCCAAACCCAAGGCGAATTGTAATACAAACATCATTATTAATATAACCGATTTACTGTCATTTATCGACAGTATCTTGGCTAATGAAGTGGGCCAATTTGATAGACAAATTTCTTCGCCGACAGCATAGGTGGTAGGTCGTACTCCACCGGCACTGTTTAAATATGAAATAATAATTTTATTTATTTTTTTATATTAGTTATAAAATTAATTATTGAAGGTATCACTTACAAATTCATTATTGAAGGTATCATGGCTATTAAACAGATCAGCGATTGTAGTATTATGGAGCCGCTTAACCAACTAATGGGATGCAAGCGATGAGCCCAGTAAGCGAATGCCAATGCAAAAATTGCCTGAAAAATACCACTGCTCACTAGAAGCCATTCTGAAATTTGAAAAAAGTTTGAAATTGAATAACAGACAATGAATTTTTGTTTTCAATAAATATATTCCGGAAAATATGACTGAATCTTATTAAAATCGGTTGATATCATAATAAAACTATAATAATAATAATTCTATGGTTGTATCATGGGTTTATATGACACCCTAATACCTTAACGTAGATATAAGCGATATTAGGTTATCAAAAGAAATAACTGAAACATGTTACAAGCTATTTTTATTTTCGAGCAAAAAGGTAGATCCATGGAATAGTATATTGATCTAGTCTATGGATTAGTTTATTGACCAGTCTATGGATTACTTTATTAACCAGTCTATGAACTAGTTTATTGACTACAAACTATTTTATTGACTAATCTATGAACTAGTTTTTGATTAGACTATGGACTAGTTTATTAACTAGTCTAGGATTAATTTATTGACTAGTCTATTCACTGGTCCACTGCAAAGTCCTTAGACTAGTCGGTGGACTAGTCTATTGACTAGTCGGTGGACTAGTCTATTGACTAGTCTATGGACAAGTTTATTTTTATATTTTTTTATATTTCTATGTTCAGCAATTAAGAAAATTAAAAAGTACTTTTTGAAGAGCGAAAAAGTACCAAGTACCTTTCATAGGTCCTCATTTACTCCGGTCTCTATATACTTAATTTCATGTTTCTGCGTTCAATATTATAGAAAACTCAAAAAGTACCAGTTAAAGATCGAAAAAGTAACAAAATAAAGTCTACAGATTTTCAGAGGTTTTCTTCGGATTTTTGTTCATATCTTCATTATTTATGGATCGATTTTGCTGATTTTAAATAGCGATCTGCTCGAAAGTATGCCTAACAAAATTACTAAAGACTTGGATCCTAAAGATATCTATCATCTTCAGGAAATTGCTTTCAACCAACATACAGACGGACATAGATTAATCGACACCACTATCCATTAGGGTCCAAAATATATACATATATTTTATGGAGTCGGAAAATTAAATTGCAGAAATTACAAACAGGTTGACAAACTTATTGTACATATCAGGCATGGAAAATTCAGTACTTTAGTACTTTTTTTCAGTACTTTTTGATATCGAAAAATACAGCGGTACACCGACGACATATTCTGTCCTTTTTCTAATTTATAAACTTTTGATAAATCTAGCCTATAGTATAGTAAGTAGACTAGCCTATAATCTAGTCTATAGCCTACTATACAGACCTATACCTACCTACTCTATAGTCCAGTCTATAGTCTAGTCTATAGTCTAGTCTATAGTCTAGTCTATAGTCTAGTCTATAGTCTAGTCTATAGTCTAGTCTATAGTCTAGTCTATAGTCTAGTCTATAGTCTAGTCTATAGTCTAGTCTATAGTTTAGTCTATAGTCTAGTCTATAGTCTAGTCTATAGTCTAGTCTATAGTCTAGTCTATAGTCTAGTCTATAGTCTAGTCTATAGTCTAGTCTATAGTCTAGTCTATAGTCTAGTCTATAGTCTAGTCTATAGTCTAGTCTATAGTCTAGTCTATAGTCTAGTCTATAGTCTAGTCTATAGTCTAGTCTATAGTCTAGTCTATAGTCTAGTCTATTTCTAGTCTATATTCTAGTCTATAGGTTAGTCTATAGTCTAGTCTATAGTCTAGTCTATAGTCTAGTCTATAGTCTAGTCTATAGTCTAGTCTATAGTCTAGTCTATAGTCTAGTCTATAGTCTAGTAGTATAGTCTAGTCTGTCTATGGTCTAGTCTATAGTCTATAGTAGTATAGTCTAGTCTATAGTCTAGTCTATAGTCTAGTCTATAGTCTAGTCTATAGTCTAGTCTATAGTCTAGTCTATAGTCTAGTCTATAGTTAGTCTCTAGTCTATAGTCTAGTCTATAGTCTAGTCTATAGTCTAGTCTATAGTCTAGTCTATAGTCTATAGTCTAGTCTATAGTCTAGTCTATAGTCTAGTCTATAGTCTAGTCTATGTCTAGTCTATAGTCTAGTCTATAGTCTAGTCTATAGTCTAGTCTATAGTCTAGTCTATAGTCTAGTCTATAGTCTAGTCTAGTCTAGTCTATAGTCTAGTCTATAGTCTAGTCTAGTATAGTCTAGTCTATAGTCTAGTCTAGTCTATAGTCTAGTCTATAATCTAGTCTTTAGTCTAGTATATAATCTAGTCTATAGTATATTCTATAGTCTAGTCTATAGTCTACTCTATAGTCTAGTCTATAGTCTAGTCTATTGTCTAGTCTATAGACAAGCATATAGTCTAGTATATAATCTAGTCTATAGTATATTCTATAGTCTTGTCTATAGTCTATTCTATAGTCTAGTCTATAGTCTACTCTGCAGTCTAGTCTATAGTCTAGTCTATAGTCTACAGTGTAGTCTTGTCTGTAGTCTAGTGTAGTCTATAGTCTAATCTATCATATAGTTTAGTCTATAGTATAGCATATAGTCTAGCCTATAGTAAAGCCTATAGTCTAGTCTTTAGTCTAGCATATAATCTAGTCTATAGTTTACTCTAGTCTCTAGTCTACACTATAGTCTAGTCTAAAGTATAACATATATTATAGTTTATAGTATAGCCAATAGTATATATTATAGCCTATAGTCTAGTCTATAGTTCAGTTTATAGCCAAGTCTAGTCTGTAGTCTATTCTGTAGTCAGCTGTCTAGTCTATAGTCTAATTTGTAGTCTAGCGGAAAATTAGTTTAAAACTTAAAGAGAATTTTCCATGCGTGGTACCTATGTATACCCTTCTCAAGAAAGTTTGTCAATCCGTTCCAAGAATCCTTTCTACAAATAACAAATTTCCGCTAATTTCGCAATGTTATCAACAAATCAATTACATCGTATCTCTATTAGACATTTCATTGCATTATTCATCGAAAATAGTAAAACGATGACTATTTTTGATATCAAATAATCAATTGTATCATCGATTGATAAGAAAGTAAAGGGGAGTATTTAATCGTTTTTAAGTTTTATTTTTTTCTGCTATTTGTTTACTTTTTTTGTTTTATTACTACGTATATAAGTTTATAAATTTCTTACCAAATTCTATATGATATTTAGTGATAAGAAATTTGTGTTATCAACATTTACACAATACATTGGAAAACGTTTCTTTTTTTCTGTTTTATTAATAATTTTGCAAATTGTAAACTCACCTACTATTATGGCATTCCAGCCATTTTCAATGGCGGCCTGTTTAGCCGATACACGAAAATATGTCTCACATGCTCCTTGCAAATACCGGCACAGGCTAATACAATAACAAATGTTTTTAGACGTGCATATTTGAGACAACTGGGACCACGACACCAGCCTAGGGAACGTATGCCACAGTCAACACTATCTATAATTTTGAATAAATTTTAATAAAATTATTAAAACTTTTAAACACAACACACACACACACAATTTACACACCGTCTGGTATATTGGCATTTGCGGAAATATTGTTCAAATCTGAGTAACGATCACCTGCCACCATGTTTTTCTTTTTAAATTTCTTTTTCTTCGATTTGTTTTAAATTTCTTTAATATTTTTAACTTTTTAAATATATATTTTTTCAAAATAAATTCATTTTTAATAATTCTCCTTTATTATTAATATTTATTTTAAAATTAATTATTTATAATCTTTAAAAAAAATATATTCTTTCGTTTCGTTTACTTGTCGTCGTTTCGAATTAGGGCCAATGACTAATTATTCTAGCCAATTGTATTTGCTCACTAACCCGCACAGCCCGCTATTCACAATATTTTGAATTCTTAACATTTTGTAATTCAACTCTTTTTTTAACAACGATCGGGCACACACTTTCAAGATAAACATTTATACGGTTTATCAGTGTTTTTTTTTTTTTTGATAACAAGTGTAGTGTGTATACTGAAGCTTCTGGCGATAACGACTAAAATGTTTTGGTTATTCTAAATTCTAAAAAAAGTAAATTATTTTATGCTGCAACATGTTGCTAATGCAAGTGTGAAAGCTTTTTTGGCAAATGCGTTTGGAGAAATGATTTGTACTAAGTTGAAGTCGAATTTATAAGAACCCTTTCTTTAGTACTTAATGTATTTCAACTTGGAAAACTTATCTATAGCTAGACTATAGTCTAGTCTATAGTCTAGCCTATACTCTAGTCTACAGTCTAGTCTATACTATAGTCTATAGTCTAGTCTATAGTCTAGTCTATAGTCTAGTCTAAAGTCTAGTCTATAGTCTAGCCTATAGTCTAGCCTATAGTCTAAAGTCTAGTCTATAGTCTAGCCTATAGTCTAGTCTATAGTCTAGTCTATAGTCTAGTCTATAGTCTAGTCTATAGTCTAGTCTATAGTCTAGTCTATAGTCTAGTCTATAGTCTAGTCTATAGTCTAGTCTATAGTCTAGTCTACAGTCTAGTCTATACTATAGTCTATAGTCTAGTCTATAGTCTAGTCTATAGTCTAGTCTAAAGTCTAGTCTATAGTCTAGCCTATAGTCTAGCCTATAGTCTAAAGTCTAGTCTATAGTCTAGCCTATAGTCTAGTCTATAGTCTAGTCTATAGTCTAGTCTAAAGTCTAGTCTATAGTCTAGTCTATAGTCTAGTCTAGTCTATAGTCTAGTCTAGTCTATAGTCTAGTCTATAGTCTAGTCTATAGTCTAGTCTATAGTCTAGTCTATAGTCTAGTCTATAGTCTAGTCTATAGTCTAGTCTATAGTCTAGTCTATAGTCTAGTCTATAGTCTAGTCTATAGTCTAGTCTATAGTCTAGTCTATAGTCTAGTCTATAGTCTAGTCTATAGTCTATAGTCTAGTCTATAGTCTAGTCTATAGTCTAGTCTATAGTCTAGTCTATAGTCTAGTCTATAGTCTAGTCTATAGTCTAGTCTATAGTCTAGTCTATAGTCTAGTCTATAGTCTAGTCTATAGTTTAGTCTATAGTCTAGTCTATAGTCTAGTCTATAGTCTAGTCTATAGTCTAGTCTATAGTCTAGTCTATAGCCTAGTCTATAGTCTAGTCTATAGTCTAGTCTATAGTCTAGTCTATAGCCTAGTCTATAGTCTAGTCGATAGTCTATAGTCTAGTCTATAGTCTAGTCTATAGTCTAGTCTATAGTCTAGTCTATAGTCTAGTCTATAGTCTAGTCTATAGTCTAGTCTATAGTCTAGTCTATAGTCTAGTCTATAGTCTAGTCTATAGTCTAGTCTATAGTCTAGTCTATAGTCTAGTCTATAGTCTAGTCTATAGTCTAGTCTATAGTCTAGTCTATAGTCTAGTCTATAGTCTAGTCTATAGTCTTAGTCTATAGTCTAGTCTATAGTCTAGTCTATAGTCTAGTCTATAGTCTAGTCCTATAGTCTAGTCTATAGTCTAGTCTATAGTCTAGTCTAGTTAGTCTAGTCTCTATAGTCTTAGTCTAGTCTAGTCTAAGTCTAGTCTATAGTCTAGTCTATAGTCCTAGTCTATAGTATAGTCTATAGGTCTAGTCTATAGTCTAGTCTATAGTCTAGTCTATAGTCTAGTCTATAGTCTAGTCTATAGTCCTAGTCTATAGTCTAGTCTATAGTCTAGTCTATAGTCTAGTCTATAGTCTAGTCTATAGTCTAGTCTATAGTCTAGTCTATAGTCTAGTCTATAGTCTAGTCTATAGTCTAGTCTATAGTCTAGTCTATAGTCTAGTCTATATAGTCTAGTCTATAGTCTAGTCTATAGTCTAGTCTATAGTCTAGTCTATAGTCTAGTCTATAGTCTAGTCTATAGTCTAGTCTATAGTCTAGTCTATAGTCTAGTCTATAGTCTAGTCTAGTCTAGTCTATAGTCTAGTCTATAGTCTAGTCTATAGTCTAGTCTATAGTCTAGACTATAGACTAGACTATAGTCTAGTCTATAGTCTAGTCTATAGTCTAGTCTATAGTCTAGTCTATAGTCTAGTCTATAGTCTAGTCTATAGTCTAGTCTATAGTCTAGTCTATAGTCTAGTCTATAGTCTAGTCTATAGTCTAGTCTATAGTCTAGTCTATAGTCTAGTCTATAGTCTAGTCTATAGTCTAGTCTATAGTCTAGTCTATAGTCTAGTCTATAGTCTAGTCTATAGTCTAGTCTATAGTCTAGTCTATAGTCTAGTCTATAGTCTAGTCTATAGTCTAGTCTATAGTCTAGTCTATAGTCTAGTCTATAGTCTAGTCTATAGTCTAGTCTATAGTCTAGTCTATAGTCTAGTCTATAGTCTAGTCTATAGTCTAGTCTATAGTCTAGTCTATAGTCTAGTCTATAGTCTAGTCTATAGTCTAGTCTATAGTCTAGTCTATAGTCTAGTCTATAGTCTAGTCTATAGACTAGACTACAGTCTAGTCTATAGTTTAGTCTATAGATTACTTAGAAACATAAAACTTGCGATTGACTTCTCGCTTGATTACATGTAGTCACTAAAGTGACAACTGATTTCCTCTCTGTTTTACAAAAAGAACATTTGAATAGATCGCTAAAAGCTCGATCTGTGTTAGTTGTTTCATGATTTAAAAGTGATACAATTGCATCTCACGAAACTTCTGGAATACCTATCATTACCATTAAGAGATTATTTCATTTACAAACTCTCTTATGATATTATTACTTGTAGTACTCTTTTAAAATACTCTTTAGTTTAACACCTACACTTAACCATGAATTTCAGTTTTTAACAAAATTATCACTACAATGACTTTGTGATAATATAAAAAATAATTTGTAAAATTTTATTGTTATAGTTTTTTATTATTATTATACAGAGATTCATTACTATTGCGCTCAGGAGAATATTTATATATAAAAAAAACAAAAAAGCATGTGGGAATTTCTTTTATCAAAAAAAGTGAAGAAAAAAAAATCAAATAAAATTTTTAGATTTTTATACATAGTTAGTGGATCAAATAAATAAACTTATCCATTTAGTATGAGTAGTTAAAAGCGTAAAGTCGGTACAAAGCTAACGGTTAGTTAGAATAAAAATATAATTTTTTTATTGCAAAAAAGAGAAAGAGAGTGTGTCTCTCTCTATAAGAAAGTTTTAAGTGATTAATTAATGAAAATAATTAAACAATTGAAAAATTTCTATTTTAAAATTAAGATAAAAAGTAGGTAAATTTTAGTTTTTGTAAAAAATTTAAAATATTAAAAAAAAAACTTAAATGTAGTATTTGTGACAAAAGTGATAAGATTAAGTTGTTCGAAAAGCGATAATATTAATAAATAATTGATAATAACGATTTCTTTTTATTGTGCAAATTGAATAGAATTTTTAAATAATTCTAATATCAATTTAGTCAGTAACAGGTGGTGGTGTGGTAAAAAGGAATTTTAGAATTAAAAAAAAAAAAAAAATATATATAAAAATAAAAAACTTCTATATTTAAAGGTGATTTGAAAAAAAAATATTTAAAAATTTTACACAAAATAAAAAATTAGAAAACGTTTTTTTTTTTGGGTTTTAAAATTTTGAAATTTTACAATTTACAAATATACTGAAAAATTGCTTAAAAGAGTGTTACTTAAATTATTTATTTGCCGCTATTGTTCTAAATTAAAAAAGATAACATTTTTAAATATATATTATTAAACAATTCTTTTAATCAGCTAAACAAAAAAATGTACTAAAAATACCATTAAAATATAATAATTTTTTTCAACACGGTTAAAATGTCATCAGCAAATCATTAAATTATTAATTTAATTGAATTGCATACAAATTCAAAAATAATACAACAATAAAATAATAAATAAAATTTAATTAATTAAATTTATTAACAATTGTTAATCTGCAAATAAAGTCAAGAGTTTTGAACTTTTCTTTTTGCAATTATATGAAAAATGATAAAGGATTTCACCGAACGAAACTGACCACAGTCAACAATGAATACATATAGTATAGGCTTTGTAATTAGACCCCTGTGAACCGGTTGACAACTATTCCAATTTGGTTTAACAAATAGTTTAAACATAAAATGTAGCAGTGGAACCAAAAATATTATAAAACTTTGATTAGATATGTTTATAGAAATTGATATTAGGTTAAGATATTTAAAAGCTAATGAAAAACAGTGACCGTACTACCTTATTGCTAATAAAATAAGCCTTCGTAGCAAAAAATATTTCAAGTTTTTGGATTTTTATCGATCGATTACTTAATCAAAAATACGGCAATTCGTTCCAGACTTGGTACTTTTGTCAATTAAGAATTGAACTCTCCAGAATTCAAGAGAATGATAAATTTCTCATAAAAGTATTCTAGGGTTAGCGTCCCACCAGATACGGCCGATAGATTCATAAAGTACTGAATTTTCCATTCCTGGACTAGATAATAGACTAGACAATAGACTATACACTAGACTATAGACTAGACAATAGAATAGACTATTGAATATACTATAGAATAGACTATAGACTAAACTATAGAATTGATAGACTAGTCTATAGACTAGACTATAGACTAGACTATAGACTAGACTATAGACTAGACTATAAACTAGACTATAGACTAGACTATAGACTAGACTATAGACTAGACTATAGATTAGACTATAGACTAGACTATAGACTAGACTATAGACTAGACTATAGACTAGACTATAGACTAGACTATAACTAGACTATAGACTAGACTATAGACTAGACTATAGACTAGACTATAGACTAGACTATAGACTAGACTATAGACTAGACTATAGACTAGACTATAGACTAGACTATAGACTAGACTATAGACTAGACTATAGACTAGACTATAGACTAGACTATAGACTAGACTATAGACTAGACTATAGACTAGACTATAGACTAGACTATAGACTAGACTATAGACTAGACTATAGACTAGACTATAGA